TATACACCCGGTGTTCAATAATTTACTGTACATCGGGTACACTTTTGTCAGATTTAGTGTCACTTTTATCAAATTTAGTGTCACTTTTGTCAAATTTATCAATAAAGCATAAATAACTCATATATATCAAGGTAACTTTTATGCGTTTTAGTGTAACTTTTGCATATTTTATTGTCACTTTATAACGGATGTTCAGTAATTTTAAAAGTTTGTGTTAAAGAATCTACAAAATAGTATGTGCTCTTGGTAGCTCATATATAACACTAAACAAATACCAAAAATCTAACCCCTCCTTCCTCAAGTCCTCAACCATCTGTATCACAATATAAGCTAATTGAACCCTACATTCGAAAGGCTTAAGCTCGAAACTGTAAGCTGGGTATTTTTCTTTGACCCTTTTCAACTCCAGCTGTTATAATGACTCAGGAGGCTATATTTTACATAATAGTCACTTCAAAACCAGATTTTGCACACTCATTAAACCCTAATTTTGGATTAAAATAGTATAATTTTTGTTCAGATTCAAACAACCCCAGAACCAAAAAAATAAAAATCAATAGAACACTAAGCAAAAGCCCTAAATTTGGGGATAGTCGAACTTAGCAAGCAAAATTAAAACACATTTTTAAGCAATTAAACCTAAAAAATTATTCAATCAATCAAAAGCATCGAATTGCAGGATTAAATACATGAAATATATGGAACAAAAACAATCGACAAATTGAAACATTACATTTTAATTAGAAATTCGAAAATCTTAAGAAATTAAAAGTTGTTATACAACCAAAAAAACAAACTTACCTTATTATTGAGAGGGAAGCGATGAAATCGAGAGAGATAGTGAGAGTAGAAAGATTGATGAACACTGATTTGCCGCTTTCTTGTGCTTCACTCTTATTAAAAATGAAAATCAAAACATTTTCTTTTATTTTTACTCGTATTTTACTACTCCCTTTATTTATCAGTTGAAATGACCCTATTACCCTTAATTTACAATTTTTTTACATCAAACTCACAACACATCCTAGCCGTCCATCTCCCTCCTTCAATCTACCCCACATCCTAGCCGTACATCCTAAAACACACAAAACCCCGTGACAAATTATTTACTCATCATCTCCTCCATTCAACCGTAATTCTCCATTGAAGCACCTTCCGAGTTTTCTGAGGTAATTTTTTTTTTTTTTTTTAAAGCATCGAATATCAATTTCACAATCTAGGGTTTATCGTTCATGTAATTAGTATTGAACTATTCCATTCTAAATTTCCCTTATTTTTGTACAATTCTCATGGTGTAATTGCGTAGTAATTGAATTTCGTAGCTTTTGATTTGTAGTGTACTTGTGATCGCGTTGTTTGTTTCAATATGTACGATTTTTCGATTTTCATGTAAGATTTGTTTTTTTTTTTTTTTTCACTTTATAGTGACAAAAATTAATGAATTTACGTATATAATTTATATGATTACAAATTTCTGTTCAGGGTTGAATAGAATGTTGTAACAATGGAATTATCGATTTTCATGTATGATTTGATTGTTTTTGTACTTTATAGTGACAAATTCATGAATTTACATGCATAGTTTTATGATTATAGATTTCTGTTTAGGGTTGATTAAAAGGTTGTAACAATGGAATTGTCGATTTTTATGTATGATTTGATTTTTTTTCTACTTTATAGTGACAAATTCATGAATTTACAAACATAATTTATATGATTATAAATAATTTATATGATTATAAATTTCTGTAGGTTGTAGCAATGGTGCAGTATAATCTAAAGAAAATAACTGTGGTTCCAAATGGGAAAGAAATGATAGACATTGTTCTATCGAAAACACAACGACAAACCCCAACGGTTGTCCACAAAGGCTATTCAATCTCTCGTCTTAGGGATTTTTACATGAGGAAAGTAAAATACACACAACAGAATTTTCAGGAAAAGTTGTCTGCTATTATTGATGAGTTCCCTAGGCTCGACGATATCCACCCTTTTTACGGGGATCTTCTCCATGTTCTTTACAACAAGGATCATTACAAGCTTGCCCTTGGGCAAGTGAATACTGCTAGAAATCTGATTTCGAAGATTTCTAAGGATTATGTTAAGCTGTTGAATTATGGTGATTCGTTGTACAGATGTAAGTGTTTGAAAGTTGCTGCTCTTGGTCGAATGTGCACTGTGATGAAAAGAATCAGCCATAGTTTGGCTTATCTTGAACGAGTTAGGCAGCACATGGCAAGGTTGCCTTCTATTGACCCTAACACAAGAACTATTTTAATTTGTGGTTACCCCAATGTGGGGAAGAGTTCGTTCATGAATAAGATTACTAAGGCTGATGTAGATGTCCAGCCTTATGCATTTACAACTAAGTCACTCTCTGTGGGTCATACAGATTACAAGTATTTGAGGTATCAAGTGATTGATACCCCTGGGATTCTGGACCGACCATTTGAAGATAGGAATATTATTGAGATGTGCAGTATCACTGCTCTTGCGCATCTCCGAGCTTCAGTCCTCTTCTTTTTGGACATTTCCGGATCATGTGGATATACTATGGCCCAGCAAGCTGCACTCTTTCACAGTATCAAGCCTCTTTTCATGAATAAGCCTTTGATCATAGTGTGCAACAAGACCGATTTGCTGTCATTTGATAATATTCCCGAGGAAGACAAGAAGTTGGTCATGGAAATGAAAGCTGAGGCTCTGAAAACGGTGGTAGGTCAGGGAGAAGAGGGAGTTCTTCTATCCATGAGTACTCTGACCGAAGAAGGGGTTACTGCAGTGAAGAATGCGGCTTGTGACAGGCTGTTGGATCAGAGGGTTGAACTGAAGATGAAGTCTAAGAAAATAAATGACTGCTTGAACCGTTTCCATGTGGCTGTTCCAAAGGCCCGAGACCAGAAGGAAAGACCACCTTGCATACCTCTTGGGGTTTTTGAAGCCAAGGCCAAGGAAGCAGCAGAAAATGCAGAGAAAGAACAAAGAATAACTGAAAGGCAGTTAGAGGATGAGAATGGTGGTGCTGGTGTTTACTCTGCTAGCTTGAAGAAGCATTATATCTTGGCAGATGATGAATGGAAAGAAGACATTATGCCAGAATTTCTTGATGGGCACAATGTTTATGAATTTATTGATCCTGATATCTTGCATAGGCTTGAAGAGTTGGAGAGAGAAGCAGATGAGTCTGAGGAAGACTTTGAGATGGATGATGAAGAGTTGACAGCAGAAGAGAAAGAGGCACTGGCCGCAATCAGGAAAAAGAAAGGCTTGCTCATTGGAGAACACAGATTGAAAAAGAGCACTGCTGGGAGCAGACCTATTGTACCGAGGAAGTTTGATAAGGATAGGAAGTTTACAACCAAGAGAATGGGAAGGCAATTAACAAAACTGGGAATAGACCCTTCTGCAGCAATTGACAGAGCTCGTAGCAAGTCAAGGGGTCGGAAGAGGCAGAGGTCATCAGATATGGGAGAAGGTGATGCTATGGATGTGGATACTGAGCAATCCAACAAGAAACTGCGTTATGCATCTCAATCCAGGTCTAGGTCCAGATCACGACCACCACTTGGTGAACTTGTACAAGGAGAAGGATTCAAGGACTCGCTCCAGAAGGGGAAAGCTATTAAACTTGCCAAGAAATCTGTCAACAAAAGGAACAAAGATGCTCGTAAGGGAGAAGGAGATAGAGTCATTCCTAACCTCAAACCTAAACATCTTTTCTCTGGGAAGCGCTCCATTGGTAAAACTGATCGACGTTAGGTCTTTTCTGGTCCTTTAGACCTTTACCAAGTCATTCCAAATTTTGTTGGTTAATAATTGGATTTCTGTTATTTGTGCTTGATTATTTTTGTTTATTTTCAATATGTAAGACAATTTTCCCAACTGTTTAATTATACCCTTTTTTAATCAACTCTTTTTCATTTCCACACAAATTCTACAGTAGATGCACATTATATAGTATACTACAGGTACAAACGGATGTATAATTATCTTCTCTGAGCTATTGCACCTGTTTTTCTCGAGTTGAATGGTTTTGAGGCAGTGATGGAATCGAGGGGAGGCTAGGCCGGCATCTATAGCCCGAATCTGTTTATACATTGTATCAGTTTCTCTTTGTCCCTTGACAAATGTTAAAAACGTGTCTTTAAATTTTCTTGTTTAACCAGACCAAAGCCAGCATTCATCAGTGCCTTCATCACCTGTTGTCTGTTGATTCAAAAAGTGGATTTGGTTTTGCTACAATTGTCCGGAGAGCTGCATCTGTTGCTTCTGTTGCTCTTAACAGGCTTATACAGCAGCTTCAAATAATTCAGATGATAAGATGTTGCCTCTTAACTGCTCTTTAATGTCTGTATCATTGCCTTGGGAACGCATTGCACATGATCTTTTGTTTTAAGGTAGCAGTTTATGAAAATTGATATTATTGTGCACTTAAGCGCTGCAAGTTTCTTTACTTACAAGTGAATGTATTCTAGCTTTGCTGGTCTTTTTTCATTAGATTTATCTTATCAATGTGCTGCCTTTTCTTATACATTTCCTTGCTCTGTATTCATCAAAATCAGGGTGGTCCTCCGGTGAGCATGTGATATTTTATCTTGCTGAGCAGAAGATGCACATGCAATACTGTCAATTACACAATTTGCAGACTATTCCAGATGCAGTGCCAAACTGAAGATGATTGTGTTGAGCTTGTGACGATGCTTCCATCCAAGGAGATTTCTCTTCTTGATTAGGCCATCAAATTGATGGCTGAGGTTGTTCGAGAAGAACAGTACAATAAAATGAATGCTCACAACATTGCTATGGTGTTTGCTCCATATATGACACAGGTACATCAATCACTACCGCCCCTTTAGATTGATATAGTAGTAAACTGTATTGATTTGATGCCTATTTTGTCGAAAACTGAGTTTTGCGACCAGTATTTGACTTTGGTATCTCTCTATAAATATGCGTGACAACTTATTTTTAAGTATATTAATTTAATTTAACAGCTTTTATTTGTTTAAATTTTGGAATAATAGTCAGGTAATAGTAATACTAATTCATAGGCCTAACAAGTTCATATTAGGCCTATACTCCGGTTATTTACACAATGGAGGAGAGGGGAGAAAGATAGAGTACTGTCAATATCCATTTAGTACCCTAAACTGTTACTGCTAAATGCAGACCTGAAAACGGCGTGATAGAAAAATCAGTTAATCCTAATTTGCTTGTATTTTTGGCTGAAATCGAGCATCAGAAAGTCTTCTACTTTGATTATGACTATGTGAAATCGAACCCCTCATTACACTTTACAGTTGGAGTAACTGATTTTTCTATCACGACTTTTTCAGGTCTGCGTTTAGCAGTAACAGTAGGTGCCTCAACAGGCTGGCCCTGATTTTTCATCTCAGTTACAATATGTTGTTCATAGTCGAGGGCAGAGAACAGACTGAGGAACTTCTAGAGCAAAGACTATGATGTTGAAATAAGCCGCTTATGAAGCTGCACCACTGGTGCATGACTCAACCATGTATGTAGCCATTTTTCTGAAGGACTGCCGTAAGAAAAAAAAATTGAAACATTTATTTAATGAAATAGGAAGGTAGGAGAGAAAAATATGATTATGGAGATAACTTTGATCCTCCTTAGGCACCTACAGCTTTAAGGTTTGGTTGGGTAAGAGGCTTGGTGTTCATGCAATAGGAATCATCATTAATAATAGTTGATGTAGAGTCTGAGTCCAGTAAGTAAATGCCGATTCTTCTGGACTTTATATTGGGCAATTGTGATCCAAACATGTCATTAATAATAGTTGATGTAGAGTCTGAGTCCAGTAAGTAAATGCCGATTCTTCTGGACTTTATATTGGGCAATTGTGATCCAAACATGCAATATAGTTTGTGCTATCTGGTAGAAAATCAGCTGGTTGTAAATCTTTTTGCTATCTGTAATGAATTATATGCAATCTGACCCTTTTGCCTCTTTTTTCATGTATAATGAAACGATCTTTATTTGAAGCCCGTGAAGAACAAAATGGAATGGATATTAGCTCAGAGGTATCCCATGTTGAGGTGAGTTCCAATAAATCCTCCTTTTTCTATCAGTTCTCCTTATTTGTAGTATTGTACATTCTATGAGGTGACCTTGCATTATGCTTTGTTTTCCTGATGATCTAATTCTGTTGCCACTCTTCCCTCTTTGCATCAAGATTGCACTCATTGTTTGATACTTCGATGTATTATATGAACTCTCTTTACTATTTTGCACTATGATTGCAAAATAGTATAAAATCTTGAGTATGACATGGAATATTTAATTTCATTATCTTGTAGAAGATTTAATTATAATAATGTGCTCCAGTGGGCTTTAAGGGTGATGAGATTGAAGCTGAAGAGAAGGAATGGTCTGAAGTAAAAACAAAGCATGAACTTGCTGCTTGATTTTGGCTTCGAAGGTACTGCTGATTGCTGTCACGCTATCACCTGGCTTAAAATGGTGATGGGTAAGGGGTTTCTATCTCTTTATTACATGAAGATTTATGATTGTGAAGGTGCTGTTTTGGGTTGCTGCCATTGTTCGGAGAGTATGAGATTTGTTCTCTTTGGTGATAATGGTACGATGGATGAACCTGAGTTCTGTTGCTGGCCTTTGCTTTATTACCATATATGGCTTGTTTACTTGATATTGTGGGTTCTTTTGATTGTTGGGATTGCCTATGTAATTTTTTTCCTCTCTCATGATATATGGGCAGTTCTGATTTTGTAGTATTGAATCAGTTTTGGCTGCAAACTGACAAGGCGACTCGTCTTCTTAGGCAGATAGTCTCTATAACTAGCTTAGTATAATGCCTTCTCTTAGCCTAATTGAGAATAAATGCCTTGCTTTTCAGGTTTTCATTTAGTTTCTTTTCTAGTCTGCATCTTTGTATGTCCTTACAGATTTTGATTCCTTGATCACTTTCAGCTCGTGTGCAATGGAGCAGAGTCAATTTACTTGAAGGGGAGATATTCTGAATTTTGATATAGGATAGTGGAAAAGAGGAGAGTGAGAGAGAGCATACAACCTATAATAAACTTAAGATAGGTTTTCTTATAAGAGGTGTATGTAATACGCAACCAAATTCCCAAGCAAATAGGCAATCAAATAAATATTCTATGACCTATGCAAAACCTTTAGGGGGTGTTTGGTAAATGGGAATAATAATCCCTAATCTTTGTAAACCCATGTTTGGTTGGTGGGAATTAAAAAAAAAAAAAAAAAAAAAAAAAATGGGAGTGGGCTTGGGAATATTTAGGTTGTATTCCCTACATTTTATTACTTGGGGGGAGGAGGTAATATTTTGGGGGAAATTCACTAAATCGTTAAAAAGACAATATTACTCCTATTTTGTGGCATATGTTTTAATATGCAATATGATAATAAGGGCAATCTAGTAAATTTTGCTTTTAATCCCTCTATTATTCCCACATACCAAACATAGGATTTAAAATTTCTCAATCTTATTTCCAAAATATGCCAAACAAGGGATTGAGATTATTTCATTAATTCCCACCTATTAATTCTCATTCCCACCCTATATTTCCCAAATTCCCAATCTCATTTGCCAAACGCTCCGTTAAGGATAGGTCAGAGTTTGGGCGAATGAATGGCAGGGGATCAAATTGAAAAAATTACTGCGTAATTGAAATTTGCAAACATGTAGAAGACGAATGAGTTCTTTCGTAAAACAATCCAAAGAACAACTTATACTACGTACTCTCTCCGTCCCATATTATAGTTCTTGTTTGTGTTTTTCACGGTATTCTAGAAATAGGAGGAGAAAGTGAATAAAGTACTACGTATATTAATAAAAATGAAAAGTACAACCATAGACAAAAGTTAGAGATAGAAAGTGAAAAAAAATACAAAGCATGTGCAAAATTCAATGGTAAATTAAGAAGTACAATAAATTAAATTAAAAAAGTAAAGGTATAATGGTATTTACATACTATTCAAAAATAGAAAAAGAAACAATATTTTGAATCTCTAATATAGGAAAACAAGAAATATATTATGGGATAGGAGTATATAATTTTAGTTTAGTTAAAGAATAACTTTGAAGTAATTGTTTAGTAAACATAGCTTATAATAATCATAAACTTATTAATTAACACGTAATAAAGAAGCATTAAAAACGTTTTTCCTAAATATTTTTTGCAAAAATAGGACTGTAATTATATAAACAATATTACTACAAACTGTTCCTTTTTTTTTTCCCCTTTTGTATATATTTCAAACAACAAACTCCTTATATTTTAAATTAGGATCTTGCTTACGAACGCCCAATTTTGGATTATTTATGTCAAACAACAAATGCCTTTAATGCTTATCCAACACCCTCGTGGCGTTCGTTAGCTTTTGGCTTTAAATTAAAATAGTATATGGAGCACATTATTGAGTTAACAATTTTGGATACCGAGATATACTTAATTAAGTTATTCGTCTACTTTTCTTTTAGCCGTTTTATTATCAGTATTATTGTTCTTTATTTTTCAAATTTAAAAACTTTTTCACATATCTTTTATTTGTAATATGTTTTTTATTAAATATCGCTCTAACGATCAACAATTATACATTTAATACATCGAGTTTAATTTCACAAAATTGGGGACGCGGGCGCTCCCACAACTAGTATGTACTAAGGGCCCGTTATCTTACGTTGAAATTCAGTCCAGTTTAGTTCAGCTCCTAATTTCCTTCTCTTATAAAATATTCATTTCAGTTCAGTTCAGCTCAACTCAGTTCAATTCAGCTGAGTCCAGTCAATGAGAACATGCCCTAAATGTGAAAAACTTGTATTTTATTTAAATCGTGGCTAAGATTGAGGCAAGAGTAAGCTTATCAATCAACATCCATAATCCATTTGAATCATGTTGTGGTCTTTACGTTGCCTAGATCCAAGGAGTGTTGTAATTCCTCCATTTCAAAATCAAACATTGCAGCCATTTGATCACAAGTACTGCCAAAAGGTATTGGATTATATGTCCGCTCTTGTGCAACCTTGCAAATTCTGTCGATGAAAAATTTAAGCCACTTAGTAATACTAGTAAGATTGACATGTTACTGGTAAATGATTAAATAAAAACATTTAAGTTGAGAACATACACTTATTTGTTGATAGTGAGGTAAGGTCTATTTAGCCTTGAGTTGGTGTCAAGTCGCCAACTATTTGTGTTTCTTGATTCTAGGCAATTTTTTGAGTTTGCTATGGGTTGTTTTATGCTGATGTCAAATGAATATTAAGGGCTTGTTCTCATTGACTGAACTCAGCTGAATTGAACTAAACTGAACATAACTTATTAGAACTGAACTGAACTGAACCGAACCAAACAACTGAAATGAATATTTTTTAAGAGAAGGAAATTAAGAGTTGAACTGAACTTAGGGCCTGTTCATATTTACTTATTTTCAGTTCAGTTCAGCTCCAATCAGTTCAGTTCAGTTTAGCTCCAATCAGTTCAGTTCAGTTTCGTTCAGCTCCAATCAGTTCAGTTCAGCTCTTAATTTCCTTCTCTCATAAAATATTCATTTTAGCTTAGTTCAGTTCAGTTCAGCTCTGTTCAGTAAATATGAACATAACCTTATTAGAGCTGAACTGAACTGAACTTATTAGAGCTGAACTGAATTGAATTAAAAATAATCGTATGAAAACAGGCCCTAAATATCATATGGTCATTTTTGGTTAAATCTTGCCATAAATAGTGTTAATTGTCAAAAACATAATTTTATTGTCATCATTACTATATCAAGTGGCTAAAAAAACATACAATTACGCAAGGTTAGTTGGTATAGTACATCAAATCATATCAAATCCATCAAATTATAAAGACAGTAAATTAAGATTATAAGCCAAATAAGGTCAACTTTAATCAGATTCTAGATCAAATAAGCAAGGCAGGTATCAAACGACGATGTTTTAATCAGTCAACGGATTCATTGACTCCCATTATTTCATCAAAAAAAAAAAAAATTAAAATTAATAAAAATTAAATAAAAAATAATTAAAATATCCTTTCACTTCAAACAACAAAATTTCACTTTTGCTTTTTTCCTCGAAAAGCTGTCCCCAATCTCTCTCATCTTTCTCTCTCATATCAATCCTTATTTTCTCTCTCCTAAATCAAGATTTTGGGCTTGACCTAGCCATTGGATCGAAGGTTTGTTCAATTTTTAGATCGATTGTTTCAATTTTATTGAATTGATTTTTTTGTCGAATTTGATTGATTGAATTGTAGATTAATTTGTATTGAATTGTGATATTGTTGACTCAATTTTCGGTTTTCTGTAGTTCTGACGAAAATTAGGGTAATGATTTTGTTTAATTTCATGCGAATTTGAACATCTGATTTGCAATTTTTATTTTATTTCTTCAGAAAAGTGAAATTATGTGTTGTAGAAGTTACAGTTGCTTAAATTCTGTTGATGTGCATTTGTGCATGTTGAATTCCTTAGCTGTTTATTTAAATTTAGTGGTTAATTTTTTATTTTGAGCTGGATGAAAGAGAATGAATAAGCATATGGTAGAATTTGAAATGTTAGTGAAATTAAAAGGATTATTAGCAGATTATACCCTAATCACTTGTGTATTTGGCTCTCATTATGTGTTGCAGGATCATAGGATAGTCCTTTGCTGATTAAAATTGTCGAAATCGGAATCAACAAGTGTTATTGCTTGTTAGTATTAGTTTCTGTTTACAAAGACTTGGCGAATAATTATGCGGAGTAAAGAGTTATGTTGATGTTGTTCTGATGAAATTGGGGGAGTTCTGTTATATTCAAGATAATAAAGTAATTGCTAGCAATGGGTGTTCGCTATCTAGCAATTTCGGCGGCATGTACTGTGGTCAGCATGATAGGTCTGCAGTGCTGGACAGAAATATCGCTCGAAAAATTCAAGGCGGATGGACTTATTGGCAGTGATACCCTTTACTCAGAGAATGCTAGTCATATAATCGAGCTCCTATTGCGTTCTCATGCCACCATTACGTTGCTGGCAATATGTTTGATCAATGCATTTGTGTTATTTATTTTGAGTATTAAGGTAAAGTAATTTCATTGCACTACATTTATTTTGTTTTGTTGTGTGGGATTGACTTATTTTAAGGCATTTTTCATAATGTTATCATATTCTGAAATGTGCACTTGTGATATTACCTGATATCGGTAGATTAAGGAACTGATTTGTGTTTTCTGCTAAAAAATTTCCTAGTCATCCGTAGCTTTTATAGTACAAAATATGTTTATATTTCACAATTTTGAAAGACACAATATGTATTATACCAATATTCTTAGATATTGTCTAATGGAGTAACATATTTTATGATTTAATCCAATAATAAAACCATTTAACTTATTAGAGAAGTTTGATTTGTATGGAGATGGGTTTGGGGAGATTAGTTTTGCTCATTTAAGCATAGAAACTTGAATATTCACGGTTTTTGCTAAGTTAAGGGGTGTTTGGTTTGGGGCTTTTAACAAAGGGTAAGGGAATCAAAATGGCTCATCCCCTTACTTGTTGTTTGGTAGGACATTTCAATAATTCCCTTTACCCTCTTCATTCCCTTAATGTCTTCTACTTTGATCTGCCCTCCCCCACACACACTAAAAAAAATGGTTTTTCTATTCCCTTTCCTCAAGCTTCCTACATTACTATCAACACCACCATTACCAGTCAACCACCACCATCCTTTACTGGACCCACCACAATTCTGACCACCACCTTCCATCCTAGATCATATCGCCACCACCACTACGTCCTAACTCTAACCATTCGAAATTCAACACCTTACCCACCACAAAGCCACCCTAACCTTTGCGCACACCCGAAATTAGCCCCACCACCATGAAATTCACTTCATCCACCACGAAAAGTGCCCTATTCATCCTCAAAAACAACCATAATTATAAGAAAATTACCCAACCATCCAAAAACAACCACCAAGCAACTAGATTTAGAAGATTATTCAAAAAGAAAAGGAGAGAGAATAAAGGAGTAGCAGTGGTGGCACTAGGGGAAGGGTGCAACGGCTGAGGCGACAACTTCGGGAGGGAAGGTGCGCTAGCGGTGTGGTGGTTGTATGGTAGTTATTTTCTAAATTGGGGGTGTGGTAAATGGTTGTTAGTGACTTACAGGATTTCCTTTTGTTATTTAAAACAAACAACAATGAAAATGTAGTTTTTTTTTAAAAAAAAAAAAAAAAAAATTCTATTCACCTTGTTTCCCTTTGTTA